ATTGTGGATCCAAGTAAAATGAAATCCTTGACAACTTCAATCTTTTCTCCATTTATCATGATGTTGCTTATTGGTCCAGTTGTGAGGATTTTTGATTTCTTTATGTTGAAGTGTAATCCATACTGAATGCTATGGTCTTTGATCTTCATCAGTAAGTGCTTCAAGTCCTCTTTATTTCCAGAAAAGGAGGTTGTGTCATCGGCATAACGCAGGTTGTTAATCAGTCAGTCTTCCTCCAATCCTAATGCCCCGTTCTTCATACAGTCCAGCTTCTCAGATTATTTGTTCAACATACAGATTGAACAGGTATGGTGAAAGGATACAACTCTGATGCACACCTTTCCCGACTTTAAACCACGCAATATCCCCTTGTTCTGTTCGAACAACCGCCTCTCGATCTATGTGTACAGCTTCCTCATGAGTACAATTAAGTATTCTGGAATTCCCATTCTTCACAATGTTATTCATAATTTGTTATGATCCACACAGTCAAATGCCTTAGCATAGTCAATAAAACACAGGTAAACATCTTTCTGGTATTCTCTTGCTTTCAGCCAGGATCCATCTGACATCAGCAACAATACCCTTCGTTCCATGTCCTCTTCTGAATCTAGCTTGAATTGCTTGAAGTTCACTATTGATATACTGCTACAGTTGCTTGTGAATGATCTTCAGCAAAATTTTACTTGCGTGTGCTATTAATGATATTGTTCGGTAATTTCCACATTCGGCGGGATCACCCTTCTTGGGAACAGGCATAAATATACATTTCTTCCAGTCGGTTGGTCAGGTAGCTGTCTTCCAAATTTCTTGGCATAGATGAGTGAGTACTTCCAGCACTGCATCCGTTTGTTGAAACATCTCAGTTGGTATTCTGTAAATTCCTGGAGCCTTGTTTTTTCGCCAATGCCTTCAGTGCAGCTTGGACCTCTTCCTTCAGTACCATTGGTTCCTGCTCATATGGTACCTCCTGAAATGGTCGACCAATTTTTTTTGGTGTAGTGGCTGCGTATTCCTTCCATCTTCTTTTGATGCTTCCTGAGTCCTTTAATAGTCCTTTAATATTTTCCCCATAGAATCCTTCAATGTTGCAACTCAAGGCTTGAATTTTTTATTCACTTCTTTCAGCTTGAGAAATGCAGAGCGTGTTCTTTCCTTTTTGTTTTCCATCTCCAGGTCTTTGCACAGGTCATTATAATACTTTACTCTGTCTTCTCAAGCCGCCCTTTGAAATCTTCTGTTCAGCAATTTTACTTCATCATTTCTTCCTTTCGTTTTAACTATTCGACGTTCAAGAGCAAGTTTCAGAGTCTCTTCTGACATCCACTATATCAAACAATGTTCTGCTGCTATTCATAACATTTTCACTGGCTAAATCTTTTCAGAAGTAGACCTCTGGGTCGTTCTTCCTAGTCTTTGTGTGGAAGCTCAGCTGAAACCTGTTTACCACGGGTGACCCTGCTGGTGTTTGAATACCGGTGACATAGCTTCCAGCATCACAGCAACACACGAGCCCCCACAGTACAACAAACTGACAGACACACAGGGGCCAGGGAGAACAGGACTCTCAAATTCCTCTTTTCAAGGCTAGAAGGGAAATCTCTGTTTATGGAAAGGAGACCATCATTTTTCTGCCTGGAATTGTTTGTCCAAGGAAATCTTACCCATCCTGCAAGGCTCTGACCCATACACTACCTTTATCATGCCTTGCACTATATATATATATATATATATGTATGTATGTATTTAACATTCCACTAAAATGAAAACTCCTGTAGGGATCATAAGTTAGGGGCCACAAATCCCTAGCTCAGTGCTCTGTATGTAACCAGTGCAAACTATGATGTATGTTAAATAAATAAATGAATTCCTTGGACATGCAGTAACACAAAGGACACAAAGATAAGCATCTAAGCCCAGAGAGTTCTATGAGAGTCAGACAAACAGGAGAGAAAAATGTACCGTGCATAAATATTTGCACAAGTGTATGTAGATACTTACATACAAATGAGAAATAACACAACATCCAGCACAGATCTTCAGAGAGCAACAAAATCATGTGTAATTCAGAATAATGGGGAGGAGACAGAGAGGGCTTACTATAGATTGAACTGTGTCCCCCGCCCCAAAATGTATTGTAAATCCCAACCTCTATGCCTGTGGTTATAATTCCATTTGGGAATGAGTTGTCTTTGTTATGTTAATGAGATAGGATTAATGTAGGGTATGTCTTGAGTCAATCTCTTCTGAAATATAAAAGATTACACAAGCCAAGTGAGGAAGCAGAGATGGGGAAAGAGAGATGCCCATGAAGACTGACCATGAACAGAAGCTCAGAAGAGCAAGGACCTTCTTCTAGAGCCGACAGAGACAGAAAGCCTTCCCATAGAGCCGGCTCCCTGAATTCAGACTTCCAGCCTCCTAAACTGTGAGAAAATAAATTTGTTTGTTAAAGCCCCCCACTTGTGGTATTTCTTGTTAACAGCACTACATAACTAAGACAGGGCTAATCTGGGAAGGTTTTTACCAGGAAATTGAGAATTGAGGTAGGTTTTGAATGAAAAGAGGGAGGCACAGGGTGTCAATCATAGGTGAGGGCAGGGAATCTAAGGATAAGACCACTGAGTTTGAGGCTGAAAGCGCAGGGGAAAAGGTCTATGGAAAAGTAGTGGAGCTGAAGGGCCAATATTCATTAGTTATCAGAATGTTTATGGAGCTATATTAGAACAGTGATTCTCCCTGGGGACAATTTGGACCCCTCAGGGGACACTGGACAATGCCTGGAGGTATCTTTGGTTGTCACAACTACAGGGACATAGCTACTGGCATCTAGTCAGTAGAGGCCAGGGATGCTGATAAACTTTTTAGAATGCTCAGAACAGCCCCCCACAAAAAAGAATTATTTGGCCCAAAGTGTCAATAATGTCAAAGTAGACAAACTTCGCTTTAAAGCTACATGAATATTAGGAGAAATGGAACTACTGCTCCTAGATTGCTTCTAGATGATAATTTCTAGAAAACAGAAAAACAAACCCATTGCCGTTGAGTTGGTTCCCACTTATAGCGATGCTATGGGATAGAGTAGAACTGCCCCATAGGGTCTACCAGGCTGCAATCTTCTACGGAGGCAGACTGCACATGTTTCTCCTGAGGAGAGGCTGGTGGGTTCGAATTGCTGACCTTTCGGTTAGCAGCCGAGCGCTTAACCACTGCACCACCAGGGCTCCTAAAGCCTGGTTAAAAAAAAAGTTGCCGCTGAGTCGATTCCAACTGATAGCGACCCTATAGGACAAAGTAGAACTGCCCCATAGGGTTTCCAAGGGGCGGCCGGT